TGATGAGGAGAATCGGTGAGATGAGATGAGGATGAGAGGATGAGGATGAGGATGAGGATGATGATGTGAGATGAGGATGAGGATGAGGATGAGGATGAGGATGAGGAGGATGAGGATGAGGATGAGGATGAGGATGATGGTGTGTTGATGATGATGATGGTGATGATGCTAATGCTGATGGATGATGAGGATGATGATGATGATGCGATGATGATGATGATGATGATGCTAATGCTGATGCTGATGATGATGATGATGATGCTGATGATGATGGATGATGATGATGATGATGATGATGTGATGATGATGCGATGATGATGATGATGATGATGATGATGATGATGATGATGATGATGATGATGATGATGATGATTGATGATTGATGATGATGATGATGATGATGATGATGATGATGATGATGATGATGATGATGATGATGATGATGATGATGATGATGATGATGATGATGATGATGATGATGATGATGATGATGATGATGATGATGATGATGATGATGATGATGATGATGATCGGGACCGAGCTCATGATGCTCTTCCCAAGTGTTCCAGGGCTTCCCCCGATTCCCTGCTGCTCCGCACGGGCTCTGGAAGCGAGGGCCGTCAGATGCTCCCTGAAACCCTGGGAGCCGGCGGCACGCCGAGGGGGGGCCGTGCGAGGGGGCGGCAGGCCTCCTCGGAGGGCGGCGGGGCTCCTCGGAGGGCGGCGGGGCCTCCTCGGAGGGCGGCAGGCCTCCTCGGAGGGCGGGGGGGCTCCTCGGAGGGGGCCGCCCTCCGAGGGGGCGGCGGGCCCCCATCGCAGGGCGGCGGGGCTCCTCGGGGACCTCCCGGCCTCTGCAGGTGGCCCTTTTCCTGCGGCCTCGGGAGAAGGCCGGCCCCAGGAGGAGGAGGAGGAGGAGGAGGAGGAGGAGGAGGAGGAGGAGGAGGAGGAGGAGGAGGAGGAGGAGGAGGAGAGGAGGAGGAGGAGGAGGAGGAGGAGGGAGGAGGAGGAGGAGGAGGAGGAGGAGGAGAGGAGGAGGAGGAGGAGGAGAAGGAGGAGGGGGGCCGAGGCCGGGACCAGGGGGCCGCGGGGCCGGGGCCCGGGCCAGGGGCCGGCCGCGCCACAGACTCTCGTCCTGCCCTCGCCCGTGGCGGGCGCGGGGCGCGCCCGCGGCGGGCGAGGGCCGAGCGCACGCGAGGTGCCCCGCGAGGGGGGGCAGCGGGGGCCCCGCGGCGGTCCCGCACGGGCAGAGGCCTGGCATCGCTCGGATGTGTTCACTTTTTCTCGGCGAGAACCATCGAGGACCACCCTGGATCATCGACCAACAAAAAAAACACGCACGGAACCGGAACATGCACGGGAAATGGACGTCCGAGCGATGGCAATGAGGGGGCTCTTTGGCTGCGGACCCGGTGCCGCCGGGAGGGGGAGGGGTGGCCCTTTTCGGGTGCAACTCCTGGGAGGTCAAATGCTGTTTTCGCCCTGGTCCGAACTCCGGCTTGATCCAGCTACATCCCGCTTAATCCCGCTCAATCCCGCTTAATCCCGCTCAATCCTGCTTAGTCCGAGGCCCGCTCTGGCGTAACAGCTTCCAAATGGGGCTTAATCCTCCTGAATCTTTCCGACGAAAACATCCCAGAAGTTGCCTCCTATGAGCTCCTTGGAAGGGACGACTTGGCGGCTGGTGCGATGGTGGCTCTTGCTGGCAAGGAGGGGCAAGCCGCCCAGAGAGGGTGCGGGGTCGCTGATTATCGGGTGCCCATCGCCGACCTGTCGGCGAGGCGTCGCCGGTTCCAGGTCGGTGCACGCTCCCCTGATGCATGGTAAGGATGGGGGGAGGAGGAGGAGGAGGAGGAGGAGGAGGAGGAGGAGGAGGAGGAGGAGGAGGAGGAGGAGGAGGAGGAGGGAGGAGGAGGAGGAGGAGGAGGAAGATGATGATGAGGAGGAGGAGGTGCCCTTGCAGCCTGTGCCTCCTCGGTCCATTCTTCGGCCACGTCCGGGGGCCGCGCCCGGCTCGGAGAGCGACGGAGCGGGCGTCCGAGGCCCTCGCATCCTGGCCGCGCGTCCCTGCTATACGGGTCGACTGTGCTGTCTGCTCGCGCAGTCAGAAGCGCGGGCAAGAATCGGGTCCACATGGGAGCCTGGTATGCCTGCTCCGCTCCGTCTTTCGCGTGGACTCGCGTGGACTAGCGTCTCGGAGTCGATGGGAGATCCCGATTTCGCGTCGATGTAGCGTCGATGTAGCGTCGGTTTAGCGTCGATTCGTAAGAGCCCACAAGATGGTATGGGAGGCTCTCATGAGTTGCCACCGAAGAAGGGGGGGCTCTTCCGAATGGACGACTTGGTGGTTAGTGCGATGGTGGTTAGTACTGTCTGCCCGCGCAGTCAGAAACGCGGGAGAGGCTAGATTTGATCAATACCTGCTGCACCTCGGCCTTTTGGCGGCCCTCCCAGACAATCCAAGACGCGATGAAGGTTACTGCCGTCTGCTTGCACAGCTGGCCGGGAACTTTGGGATCGCGTGTCGCGCCGCCGGTTCTGGCCCACCAGGCTTTGGCGCAGCACGCTATCCACCTCACGGTCCCTGGGCTTCAACGTCCCGAGCTTATGCCGAGCCTTTCGCCCCGCAGAGCAGAGCGAAGCGACACGGCGTGTCGCCGGGACCGCCGTGGCGACACGCTAAGCCAGAATGCTTGACCTTACGGCATGCTTGCGCAATGCAGGGCTCACCACCAGTTCGTAATTTACATGGCCGTCGGCCAGCAATGCAGGCGGTCCATCGACCAAAAAAAAAAAAAAACGACGCCACCCCACCTACGGCCCTCGATGTTGCGCTGCGGCCCATCGGGGGACGTAGCGCATACCACGCAAAACCCACGCGAGATGCCCTGGTATACGCTAAGCCCCCTGGGGCCGAAGGTGGGGTGGAGTCGTTTGTTTCCCCGTCCAGTCCTAGCAGGACCCCCGCCTCGTTAACCACCATTTGTTGGTTTATGGCATGGTGGTTCAGAGACTTGGTTCACAGGTTGATGCTTCTTATGTGCTGCTGCGCACTCGCTAAGCCACCAACGCCCAAGCCGCCATTTCGGGAATGCGATCTTCTGGAGCGTCGGGTGGTCTGCGGGCCCCCCATCCCCCCCCCCCGCACCCTTCTCCCCGAGCAGGAACAGGTCCGACCCTTCCGTCGTTTTCGCCTGCGGGGGCCTCCCGGGAGGCCCTCGTCGCCGCGGCAGGCTTCGCCTCGAAGTTTTTGGTCGGAGCGCCTCCCGGGAGAGATCCGTGGAGCAGCTGGGGAGTGAAGGTGCCAGGGAAGCCAGTTGCACGCAGCTGCTTCGCCCACCCCCCTTTGATTATCCCCTCGCCCTTCGTCGCCGTGACCCTCAGTCGAAGGCGGAGACACTGCTTGCCCACGTGGGCCCCAAGCACCAGGCCCCCGCACCCTCGATGCGCAACGGGTGTGAGGCAAGCTGAGCGGTCGGTGTATGGTGCCATCGATGTGTTGCAAACTGCGCGTTGAAACAACGATGGTGCAGTCCATATGGTGCAGGCTATGCGCTGCGAGTTACTTGGTGAAAGCCGTGGCAAGAGCAATACACTGCAAGCTGTGCGTTTCAGCATGTGCATCGCGCAACACGCGTGTAGGCTATGTGCGGAAAGCTTTGTGGCGCCAGCTATTGGATTGCAAGTGGTGTTGTGCACCACATGTATGGTGCAAACTATGTGGTGCGAGCTGCGAGGTGCCACCCAGCGCACGGAGGCGCCCAAGGGCGAGCACGCGGCCGCATCCAAGCTTACCCACCCGGTACACGGGGCTCTCACGCGGCGCCCACGGGTGGCCATCAGCCGGGCACCAGAGGAAACCCCAGCGCATCCACCCAGCGCACGGTGCGCCCACCTTTGGCCACCGACCCGGCACTAGACAAAATCCCGGCACACCCATTCAAGTAGTTCGGTGAGGCAAGGAAGAGCCCCAAAGTGCAAGCACTGTGTGGGGAAATGCACGAGGCGCTCCAAAAGGAGCCTTGCTTTCGAGGATCGAAGGAGTCGTCATCTCTTCCTCGGCGGAAGGCGTCGGAAGGGCGGCGGAAGCTCGGCGGAAGCTCGGCGGAGGGCGGCGGAAGCAATGGATATTCCCAAGAGAGGAGAACAATGTTGGGTTCCGGGTCTCCGAAGTCGCCCCCGGCAGGTCCGCGCGGATGTCCGGGGTGGGCGCCGGACCCCCTTTCCCGCACCCTGTGGGCGGCGCCGCCCGAAGCTCGCCGAGCGCGTTCCGCTACTCGCACAGTGCCTACTCGCAAACGTCCGAAAAAAACACCTGTCTGCTTTGATAGAATTTATCGTGGATCCCCAGCGAGGGAGCCAGGCCACTTGCGAGTAGGTGCTTTGCGAGTAATGGAACGCGCTCGTCGAGAAGCGCGCCCTGCGTGCCTGGGAAGGGGTGCGGGCTGTGGCCAGGACTCCCAGGGAGGCCCTGGTGGCCCCCAGAGCACCCGCCACTTGGGGAGCGAACAGTGGCATGAACATAAGGGTGGTTTACTAAAGGGAGGTTTGTCCACCGCCAAATAAGAACTCGAAGGCCCGCGCGGATTTCTCGGGTCGGCGCTGGACCCCCCTGGCGGCGCCTCCAGCGCCGCCCCTGGCGCGCTCCGCGCGCCAGGGAGGGGGGTCCGGCGCCGACCCGAGAGATCCGCGCGGCCCTCCGAGTTTTTCTGTGGTTACGTCATTGTTCGTTCCCCTATCCCAAGGCCGAGAGGGCCTCAGGGGCTCGGGAAGGGCACGAGAACCCAGGGACGCCTTGGGCAGGGACAGCCTCGACAACCCCTGCGCGGGCATGCGGCGGGGTGACCAGCGCCGACCGCCGAGGAGTCCTCGCGCGCTTCCGGAGGCTCTGGCTCGTGCCCTCTCTGCTGCCCCCTGCCGACGCCTCTCCGCCGACGGCCTGTCCTCGCCTCGTCCACCGTGGCCCCCCCTCCGGCCCCCTCCGGAGCCGGCGCGCCCGGGAGGGGCATCATGGCCGAGATCGCGCAGAGATCCGGCGCCAAGATCGACCTCGGCAACGAGGAGGGGGGGGGATCGGGCCGGGTGTTGCCAGAAGTGCCCCTGGCCCGAGGTGCCCCCCAGCTTGTCGCTCCGTTCTGGAGCCCCTGGGGGGCCCTCTGGGCCTCGCGAGGGGTGCCCTGTGCAGGCCGTCTGGGTTGCCCTGAGGATCCTGGGGGTTACGTTTGGGCTGTAGGGGTGCTTCTGGCAGCACCCGAGGTGGGGGCGTCGCCGTGAAGCAGGCGCGTGCTGGCGGACACGGGCCCTGCCTGTCTGGGTGGCGTTCTGTGCCTCGGCGGCCCTCTCCCGAGCCCCGGGGGCGTCAAGGGTACGACCCCCAGGGGGGGGGGAAGCGCCTGGACTCCAGGGCCCGTCTTGTCTTGGACCCTGGTGTCGCTCGGACGTGGGCACTTTTTTTCTCGGCGGGGATTCTTCAGGAGCCTCCTGGATCATCCTGCGAGAAAAAACCACGCACGAAGCCAAAACAAAAATAGAACAGGGAACAGACGTCCGAGCGATGGCCAGTCCTGGGCCCGCTTCCAGCATGCGAAGGGGGAGGCAGGCCAGGCCGCCCGCGTGGGTCGCCACGAGGCGGGGGAGGAGACGGTGCCGATCCGTCGCCCTTCCCTCGTCGCCACGGCGGGTTTCGCCTCGGTGTCTTGGTCAGAGCGCGCCCTGGGAGAGGTCGGGGAAGCAGCGGTGGTGACGGTACTTCGCCGCCGGGTTCCTGTACAAGGCGTTTCGTTGCAAGCACATCGTCTTCGGCACCGCCTGATTCTGGGGCTTTGCCCCCTCCTGGCCTTGGCGTGAGGCCCCTCCTTCTGCCCCCCCCTTTGTTAATTAAAGCTGTGCGCGGCCCGCTTAGCTTCGACCGGAAGAGGTGCGCTCTCGACCCGCGAATCAAAGAACTGTCTGTCCCGGCATTGGTATCGAGGGAAGCGGCTCCCAGGTCTTGCCCGGCGGTTTCGGGCTCCTGTCTCTGGAGGGCCGCTGGTGGTGGGAACCTGTTTCCCTCTGGACCCGACCCCCTCCCGGTGGCTAGAACAGCACAAGCGGCCCACACGGGGCCGGAGTAGGTGTCGGAGGGTTGCGCCGCATCGCAGATGCATCGGCGATGCGGCGCGATCCCGAGCCCGAGTTTCTGCATCCCGACGTCGCCGAGGCATCGGTGCTGCGGCGTGTTCCTCGGAGGGGCGGCGTGCAAACGCGCGCGCGTTTCAGTCTGTGTTGTGTTGGCCGCTTTGGGGGGGCTAAGGCTCCAACGCCGCCGAAGGACAGGGGTGACGCTCAGAACCAGCGACAAGAGGTTAGTCTCTCGGGGCACGTGGAGCCGTGTGTGTGTGGCAGTGCGTGGCTAAAGTTGGTCACTCAACCAGAAGCGCATTGGCACAGAAACGGTTACGCGGCAAGTTACAGGTTGTCCGGCTCAACCACTGCAGAAATTGTTGCGCACGACGGTCCTGAATGGGAGAGACGCTCGCTGCGCTCTGTTTCTGGCACCCTGCAGTCACAGACATGCTCGGATCAGCGATCAGGCATTAATAGACCATGTTGCGCTGAAGACTTGTAGACTGTGGACAGAATTTCCCTGACCCGAGTTGGCCAAAGGGGTCGTCCAGGAGAGGGTTGCCTGGTGTAACTATTCGATAGGCAGTTCTCCCCACCAGATGGAGTAGCGTTGGGAGTGGTAGGCGTTGATTCTGGGAAATCGTTGCTCACTCATGCCTTTCGTCGTTACAGTTTCAGAAGGGCCGAGTCCACGCTCCTCTTCCAAATGTTCTCCACATGACACGCTGTGAAAAAGGTTTGAATGGATCACATGATAGGTTCAACCATGGCTAGCCCAGGAATTTAGAATATTATCGGTTCGAGAAACGAGGGTCATGGACACAAGGCAGGGTCTCAGAAAGGGAATGCTAAGTTCGGTCAGAGTCTGGGAAGGACGCGCCCTACTTCATGGCCAGTTATTTTTGTTGTCCGCAGTGTCCCCATGACAGGCAGGCATCGACTGATATCATGGCATGCTGACAGTACAGAGGTGGAGTGATTGGAGAAGGTGTCATCTGCATTAACAGCGCGCTCCAAAAGTGGCCAGGGGAGGGCCCGGCTGGCATGCGACAAGTCACCCTCAGCGGGAGCATCATTGGCAACGCATTGGCTTCGCTCTTTCTACAGGAGAGTGTACTCCAGTTTCAGCATATGCTGTAATTGGGCCATGTGTGATAGCATCGAAAAAAAGGTTTGTCCCGTGGGATATAGGTCTCCGAGGAAGAGGAATAATTACATGCAATAGAGAGCCAAGCATCCCCTGCACTAGATTCAGATATAATCGCTATCATCATGATCCTCTTCGTCCTCGTCACCCCCCCTTGCTTCTGTCACAGCCTGCAGCAGCGAGGGATTCGCGCATGGCGGACGGTAAGATCAAGCGGCGGGACACGGTCGTTGTGCGGCAGTCGCCGCAGCAGTAGCATGGAAATTGCCGACCGGCAGCATAGGGGATGATTGATTACGTCCCCGCCAGTTGGGGGTGGATCCATCACGTAGACCGCGGAGTCGGCCCACACAGAGTAGAGAATGATGTGCCCCGTGTTTTCATTGCCCCGTGAGCAGCTTCACTCAGGAGCATCACAGTGGCGTAAGCATGGTCACGTCATGCATGCATCACACGTGTAGTGAAACATTGATACCAGAAAACGGCCACACACGCAATTCAAGTGTACGCTGGCAATGCATGTATGGTGGGCTTCTTGTCCCGTGGACACGATTTGCGATAACCAGATGCCGCGTAATCTAGATATGGCCAAGAAGCCGATCAAGTAGAGGAAGAGGGGCAGGGAGGCGGAGTTAGAGCCAGTGAAAATAACAGATGCTCTGATGTGGGGCAGCCGCCTTTGACACATTGGTCCCACCACTTGGGCCCAGCATTAGCGGGAAAGCAGTTATCTAAGGGAAAGCAGGTCATTATTGTTTGAAGTGTCGTGCAATGTTCTCACACCTCTTTTTGCCCACCTCCTCATCCTATGTCAGATGTGTGTTTCCTTACCTCTACGTTTCGAAACACTCTGTATCATCCCAGGGAGGCGTGCCTTGCAACGGCCGCCTCCGTTTCCAGAAGGGACGCTCCCAGGCATTAGCCTGATATGCAAGCAGGCGCAGAGCTGTTCAGATTTCCTGTCGAGCGTCTTTCTCTCTCTGGCTCCAGAAAGACGCAGCATGCCCCAGAAACCATCAGGACGGAGGAGGGAGGAGGAGAAAAGACAAGCTAGGTGCGCTCGCGTCATATCTGACGTCCTACCTCTCCCTCCCATCCCCTACCATGGCGTAGATCTCCCTTCTATTCGCACACTCAGATGTCGCAGCATGGCATAGCATTACATGGCATAGCATGGCGTTGAAGATTAACGCGTAGCATGACATAGCATGGCGTGGCGACGCCCCAAAGTGGGGGGGGGGGCTTCTGCGGCCCCAAAAATCAACGAATCGACACCGAATGTGGAATCACTCCCGATGGTTTTTGTTCGGGGGGGGGCAGTTGCTAGATGTGGGTGCCTATTTTAAAGGAACAAAAACCATGCCGTGGCATGGCGCTGGAAATAATGACGCCAGCCCTACAGCGGGAGCACGATTCGGAACGTGCGGAAGAGCAGAAATGAGGCCAGCGCTGCAGCGAGAGCATCATTCGGAACGAGCAGTAGCCCGAACACGAGGCCAGCGCTTCAGCGAGAGCAGCAGTTGTATTATTTTGATTGTGGAGGGGGAGGAGGAGGAGGAGGAGGAGGAGGAGGAGGAGGAGGAGGAGGAGGAGGAGGAGGAGGAAAGGAGGAGGAGGAGGAGGAGGAGGGAGGAGGATCAGGGAAAGAGGAGGAGGAAGGGAGGGGGTGCACATCCTCTCCCTCCTTTTCATCATCCTTTTCCCTTCTCTCCCCCTTTTCACGTTGAACGAAGTCTCATCGAATGACGATCGCAGCATCTATCTCGATGGCAGACTCCGCAAGTGAGAAGAAAAGCGGACAGCGGAAAGTGCAGGGGTAAGAGCCCGCTAGGGCATATGGAGTAGGCGTCCATCCATCCAGAGGCAAGGAGTAATCATCGACATCTGCATAATTGTCCCTCCCCCATCTTCCTCCTCCTCCTCCTCCTCCTCCTCCTCCTCCTCCTCCTCCTCCTCCAGCACAGACCTGCTGCGCCAGGGCACCGTGCGCTCCTCCTACAGCAGGGGTCCGACCAGACGTCCTCTGAGAGAGTTCCAATCCGCAGCCCCAGAGATCCAGGCCGCCTCTGTTTCGTCGCGGATCCATGTTCGATGGTCCCAGGTCCCGAAACAGAGCCCCACATCTCCAAAGAAGAAAAACATCCCGCCGAAGATCTTCAGGAGGATGAGAGAAACACACACACACACACAGATGATATGGAACATGTCGGAGGTGGAGGGGAAGAGGAGCAGCCAGGGAATATTGAAACTATAGGGGAATCCTGGGATGTGTGTCTATTCATTGCTGTGTCTCTGGGCCCCTTCGGGCCTGGGCTCCTCGACAGCGGCGACAGCGATGACGCCGCCTCGCCGCCCCCTCTGCGCGCGCGGCTCCAGATAAGTTTTTTTGTGATCGAGAGGGGCCCCGGGCACCGAGAGCGCGCCCTGCTCTCCTGCTCGGCCAGAGGGCGCGGGGGGCACCAAAGCAGCTCCAAGCAGCACCTCCTCCTCCTCCTGCTCCTCCTCCTGCTCCTCCTCCTGCTCCTCCTCCTCATCCTCCTCCTCCTCCTTCTCCTCCCTCCTCCTCCTCCTCCTCATCCTCCTCCTCCTCCTCCTCTTCCCCCTCCTCCTTGCGGGCGATAGGGAAGGGGGGTCTGCTGCATGCAGCCGGTCCCGTCCCCGCCGCCGGGCGCCTTGCTCGATGCAGTGGCGCCTCGGCAGAGAGCTGCTCACCGAGAGCGCCCGAAGAAGCTCGGTGCTCAAGGCTTATGTTGCTCCAACCTACTTTAGCCTCGATCACCAGAAATAATTTCGAGCGCCAAAACAAAGTGCCGAAACTCAAGGGTATTTCACGTGTCGGGCCCTGCGAGACACTCGCCCGACACTGTTTCGACACCGTTTCGACACCCTCTTGACATTTTGCTGGGTGCTCGAAATTATTTCTGGGATGAGGTCCTTGAGTAGGATGAGAACAACATAACTCAAGGCACGGGCTCGAGGCCGTCGCTGGTGGTGCCGTGGGGGAGCGGAGGGAGCTCGAGAGGCGGGAGGTGGGAGGTGGAGGTGGACCTCTTCCTCCTCCTCCTCCTCCTCCTCCTCCTCCTCCTCCTCCTCCTCCTCCTCCTATACGCACCGCGTTGGAGCTATTCCTATTCCTATTCCTCCTCCTCCTCCTCCTCCTCCTCCTCCTCCTCCTCCTCCTCCTCCTCCTCCTCCTCCTCCTCCTCCAGGGGAGGACGAGGAGGGAGGTGGATGGAGGTGGCGGGAGGCGGGGGGCAGGTAGGGCGCGCTCGCGCCAGATCTGGCGTCCTGCCCCTGCCCCCATGCACTGGGGGCCCATGCAAAGGACCACCCTGCTTGCCTGGAGGAGGAGGAGGAGGAGGAGGAGGAGGAGGAGGAGGAGGAGGAGGAGGAGGAGGAGGGGAGGAGAGGAGGAGGAGGAGGAGAGGAGGAGGGGAGGAGGAGGAGGAGGAGGAGGGGGAGGAGGGGGGAGGAGGAGGAGGAGGAGGAGGAGAGGAGAGGAGGAGGAGAGGAGGAGGAGGAGGAGGAGGAGGAGGAGGAGGAGGAGGAGGGAGGAGGAGGGGAGGGGGAGGAGGAGGAGGAGAGGAGGCGGGAGGAGGAGGAGGAGGAGGAGGAGGAGGAGGCCCTGGGTTTCCTGGGCTTGGATGGTTTTCGCGATGGAGAGCGCGACGTTCCTATACCACAAGTCGACGGACGTCCTGGGGTCTCAGGGTCGGGTTTCTCGTGGGAGGGTTCTTGTGGACTGGCCTGCACTGGACGGTCAGGAATCTTGGCTTGGCGCTTCGTGTCGCCAATTCTGGTCCACCACGCCTCGGCGCGACACGCTATCCACTTTGCCAGTGCCCAGGCGCCGATGTCCCGAGCCTTTTCCCGATCCTCTCGCCCCTCGGAGCGGAGAGACAATCCATTCGCTCACAAGGGATAGCGTGTCACTGGGGCAGCTGCGACGTGGCGCGATGCAAAAGCTCCCGACCACATAAGGATGGAAGGCTCCTGCGGGTACACCTCGCAACCGTCGTCCTGCACAGGGTGGCAGTGGGAGACTCTGCACAAGGAGACGCAGCAAGGATCGTTGCGTGCTAGGAGGGAGGCGGATTGAGGGGGGACGAGGAGGGAGATGGAGGGAAGAGGGGGTGGCGTGCCGAAAGGCGAGCGGTTAGGCGGGGGGCGGGCGAGGGATGGGAGATGAAAACGAGGTACTTGGAGAAAGGTGGGAGGGGGGCAAACAAAGTTTGTCGGTCCCAGCCTCTCTCGCGTCCTGCGTCAGCTCCTCCCAGTAGAGCGGCACAGTCAGGCAGTATCTTCCTTTCCCCTCCCTTGTTTGTTTCTGCGCGCGCGCTGGCAAGAGGGAGGGCCAGAGCCATTGTATGTCAGGCAAGCCTGAAGAGGCGGCATGGTCGCTGAAAGCTCACCGAGAGCGCCCGAAAAACCAGGCGTCCCCATCACAGGCTTGAGACCGTCACCTGTCGTCTTGCGAGGAAATGAAGCGAGCTGGAGAGGTGGGAGGTAGGCAGTGGAGGTGGACGGGGGAGGAGGAGGAGGAGGAGGAGGAGGAGGAGGAGGAGGAGGAGAAGGCGGAGGAGGAGGAGGAGGAGGAGGGGAGGAGGAGGAGGAGGAGGACGAGGAGGAGGAGGAGGAGGATGAGGAGAGGGAGGACGGCAGAAGGAGGTGGATGTGAGGCGGAGGGCGGGCCAGGTGCGCGTGCGCCCTATCTGACGTCCTGCCCCATCCCCCCCTACGGCCAGGATCGTTTGCTTAGCGTGTCGCGCCACCGGCTTTGGTCCACCACGCCTCTGCGCGATGCGCAGACCACGTCCCCATGTCAAGCGTCGACGTCCCGATCCCCGCCCCGCGGAGCGGAGCGACACGCTTTCCATTTGTAGGGCACAATGGTGTCGCTGGAGCTGCCGCCGCGACACATTCCCGACTGTAGGCGCGTTCGGGCCATAGCTTACGTCCCACCCCTTCCCCCCCATCCATTTCCGACCCTCTTTGTTCGTAGTGCCAGGCGTGTCGGGAAAGTCTTTGGTGCCCA